GTACTTCATCAGACTATACTTTCTTTCTTTCGATTAATTCAAATTTCGAACTTTCAAAGTGATTTCCAACAATCTTAAAAACGTAGTCCTAATTGTTCAGTCAGATGAGTGCTCTAATTAATTTTAGTAACTTTAATTGTAGTATCGCTATAGCACGGAAGAAACAGTTCAATGCAAATTCTCCTTTACCTCCATATGCAATTTAAAATTTGAAGGAGAGAGTTCAGACATACTTAGAGAAAGCTACGAAGTTTTAAAAACTAAAAAAAAATTTTCAAAATGTAGAAATGAAAACAAATTATGAGAAGATATAAGATCGCGCAATGTGAAAGTTCTCTTCCAATAATTATCTTACATTTTGATACATTTTATTTCATATTTTTATATAACTGTCGTTGAACAGCCAACCCAATTGTTTGGGTTTACAACTACTAATTTTCGATTCCGTAGCCTTGTAATTTTTAACCCAATCCAGCTGGTCTAAAGTATCGAAAGTCTTGCTATCTTGCGAAATTTTGTTTTAAATGTAAATTTGTAATTTTTTTGTTTGTTTTCTACTTACTTCTGTAGGCTTCATGCTATACTTCGTAGCGCATGAGGAGTTTTCAATCGCTTAAATAAAAAAAAAAAAAACCAGAGGACAAGGGAACTCCTGGAGCACAGCATCTTACAACACAGCATTCTGTCAAGTATTGGGGAAAATTTGCTTTCGGGAGGACTTTTTTGATGGAACTAACCCGCATTTGCGTTACACGAAGAGGAAAACCGCAAAAAAATCTCCCACAGTTAGCCTAAGGGAAGGGGACTCTAACCCATGATCCATCTACCACTGAAGATATTTTACGTCGGTACAAGCCGGGTGCGCAATTCGTATCGACCAGCCATCGCTGGAATTCGAACCCGGTTCATCTCACTGAGAGGCGGACGCTCTATCCCCTGAGTCATCACGGCTCATTTTGATATTTTAATTTTTTTTTTCAGTAATTGAAACTTCGTGGCTTGCTTGAGATTTGCTTAAGCGCATTCTTTCTATACTTTAAATTTTAAATTAGCTTTGGAGATGAAAGAGAATTTGCGATAAAAAGTTTCTTCTGCGGTATAGGGTCCTCTTAAAATTTTATCTTAGTACGTAAAAATCTAATCTTTGGATTGAAATTTATTAAGATGTTATCTTTTTTATTTTGTCCTCTATAAAAATAAGTTTATAATAAAGAAAATCAGCAAGTTTTTAGAACTAATCTACATACCAACCAAATCTACATATTTTGCCACTAAAAAGTCCAATTTAAATATGACTCAAGTGCTGGCAATTCATGTAGAAAAATACCTACGATTTTGGTTCACTGTAATGAAATATATTAGAATATTAGTATAATATATAAACGTAGTATTTGTCGTGTTAAATAATAATGAATATGCTAATTAGTAATAAATAAGCTAACTTATAATGAATATGCTAATCAATAAGCTAATTAATAATGAATATGCTAATCAGTAATGAATAAGCTAATTAATAATGAATATGCAGTTAACTTATCATTCTTAGAAAATTTCATTCTATTCCATTGCATTTAAAAAGATCAGTTTTGACATCTCACCTCTCGATAAGCCATAGCTTTTCTTTAAAAAAGGATATAAAAAAATGGTTCATCATCCTAAAAAATGTATTATTATATAATTGTAAGATTTAGAAATAGTAATGTCTGGAAGTCTTTATTGAAGTAGTTACTTTGTAGTAAAAAGAGAATTACATTGTAGCAAGACTTACTCGACTCTTTCCCAACTCAGGAGAGTAAGACCTTACATTCTTAAGTACCTAAAATACACAATATATTGTAAAAGAAAGAGCAATTGAGGAAAAAAGTGCTTTCATGCGGGCTTATAGACCCTTACTGAGTTTTCTCAACAACTATTTTTATTAGTCTTCTACTGCGTTAAAAGCATTCCTAAAAGATTAGCAAATGTTTTGGGTCCTCATTTTTTTCAGTTTGTTGTACCAGTTTTTTTGTCTTTTTTACGGGAATTAACTTTTTTTCATCAAGATTAAGTCGGTGATATGTGAAGCATAGCTAACTGAAGTTGCTCTTAAGAGTTCTGGTATTAGTTTTGATGAGATTAGCAAATGGAGAAATGATTTCAAGATGCGAAATAAACATTCTAAAAGGACGCTTTTTCGTAAAGGAAGGAAAAGAAATTTCAGTTGTATTAAGAAAAATTTAAAGTAATGACACTAATTCCAATTTAAAGTTGTCTTTTTTCAATAATTCTTCCTTTTTTTCATTCAGCCTAATATGCTTAAGAGATAAACAAATATCTAAAGAGAAAATTTGAACCCGCATATAGAAAATAAAATGACATGCTATAAATTATAAATAATTTTAAAAAGAAGTTTAAAAAGAAATGCGCTATAATATAATAAAGCTTTCTATAAGTTTGCTATAACATAATAAAGCTATGATAAAACACACTGTTTCTTTTTTTAATTCATATTTTTAAATTCATATTTTTAATTACGAACCAAAGTTGAAAAACCTTCTAAAAAACACTTTACCTTAGAGCGCCCTGTCCAAAAAATAAGCTGAAAAAAAACTAAATTCAAATGCGTCTTAAAACTTGTAATACTCTATCCACTAAATACTAAACCACAGTATACTCTAGGAAAATTTCAGGATTAAATTACAGTATAAAGTTCAGACACTTTGGGCTCATCATCCGTAAAATCCATTTTACCGTTAAATCCTTTTTTAGTGTAAACTATTATGTCATGATTTCTTCAGTAACGTTTATTTAATTACAGTGATTCATTAATTCTGAAATAATTATAACTGTAAAATTACGGTATATCAGATTTTCTTATTCCGTAATTAGATCCGTTAAAAACGGATTTTAGGTCGAAAGTACCAGCACCCTGAACGCTGATACTTTTAACAGTAATTTATTACGGAGTTTTTTTACAGTATAATAGAGAATGGGAAAGGAGTTTTAAGTACCTCTCTATCACAATTCTTTACAACCGTTTTGCATATATATGGCCGGTTGTTCTATTATATATATTATATATTAAAAATTTTATATATTAAAAATATATAATCTTTAACAAAATATCCGCAAAAAAAATATTCAGCAGCTTACAATGGCTAAGTCTGACATGGATAAATAAAATAGGAAATTATGTAACCCAGGTATGACGTAATGCTAAAAATATTGCTCAACTAAAAGAATACTTTGTTCTTATTTTGATAAATCTAAACTGTAAATGGAGGTTCAATCTTTCATTTTTCCATTGGCACCATTTTATAGCACATCTGGCCTCAATTTCTAGACCTTGCATAAGCGGGACATCTTTCGTAAAAATGAAGTTCAAATTTTATTTAAATAAACCTTAATATAGAACTCATTTCTTTGTTTTAGTCATAATAAGTCGCTAAATATTAGGAAATATGTAACAAAATTAACGTTTTAGAAAATTATCTGCATTATAGAACTATTACTTCAAAATATATCTCCATTATGATCGTGACAATTTGTTATATAATTTTTTTAAAAGCTTGCAATATTTTATTTTTAAAGTTAACATATTGCAGACATGCTAAAACATTTTTTTTTCTTTCGTGAAAATATCAAAGACAATAAAATAAATCTTTCGATAAGAAAAATTATTTTATCGAATAGCATAAAAGATATAAAATTTCAATTTAGATTTGAAATGTTCAAAAAAATACAGGGAAAAATTATAATGATTCATTTATTCATTATATCCATTAAAATGATTTATTTAAACTTTAAAATAAAAAGCAAAAATATCAGCATTTCAATTCGAAAAAATTGATAAATGGCGAGTCAGGTATTAAACTGATAAAATGTTCGTTATTTATACCGGTATTTATATTTTTGATTGTCTATTGGCCAAAAAAAATTTAAAACATATCTATAAAATGATTAACAACAAAGACTGGTATCATCCTTCCGATACAACCTGATTTTCTAACTTTATCAAAACAGAAAAGTAAAAAACGATAAAAACGCATTTAATGCACAAAATGAAGTATTAAAGTGTATTAAAAAAAAACGAAAAAAATGCTTTTTCGATTTGATGCTTGATAAATAGGATGTATCCCATTAGTTCCATCAAATTAATATTTATTTTCTTATGAACAATGACGATAGAAGAAAGGAAATTGCAAAAACAGGGGAATGAATATGGATAATAAATATGGATATTAATAAACATATTGACGCCTGGAATGCGAGTCAGTGTTATATTAAGCATTGCGCTAGTCTGTAGCATATTTTTTATCTTAAGAAATGCTGCCAAGTTAGGTTCAGATCGGTTCCAATTATATAAATTTAACATTGCTACTGTAGCTACTAAAAAATCTAGTATTAAATGGGTCCTCTTTTCACTAAGTTCATTAAAAATTTAATGGGCTCGGTGAAAAAAGAATCAGTTCAACCGGTTGTAGAAGCAACTAATTTGCGATTATAAATTTAGCATTGCTACTGTAGCTATCTATAAAACTAGTATTAAATGGTTCCTCTTTTCACTGAGCCCATCAAAAATTTAATGGTCGGGACTCGGTGAAAAAAGGATCAGTTCAATCGGTTGTAGAAGTAACTAATTTCCGATTATATTAATTTAACATTGCTACTGCAGCTATCAAAAAAACTAATATTAAATGAATTCTCTTTCACTGAGTTGATTAAAAACTTTAATGGGCTCGGTGAAAAAAGGATCAGTTCAATCGGTTGTAGAAGCAATAAGTTTTCCGATTATATAAATTTAAGATTGTTAATACAGCTATCTAAAAAAACTAGTATTAAATGGTTCCTCTTTTCACTGAGCCCATAAAAAAATTTAATGGACTCGGTTAAATCAGTTCGATCTGTTGTAGAAGCAACTAATTTCCCAATTATATAAATTTAACATTGCTACTACAGCTATACAAAAATAATGGAAATTTAATAAAAACTAGGGTAAATAGAATAAGTTGACAACTTAATTCAAGTATATGAAATTTATTTAGATATACACAAAACATTATGCTGACATTAATTAGACAGTAAAAGATTGGTAACAAAAAGTAAGGAAAGGGTTTCTGCAGGAAAGGAATGTTCAGAATCTTCATTTCGATTCGATAAAGGTTATTAAATTTCATCTAAGTTACATTTCGCACGCTTTTTCTTGGTGAAACATCTCCAGCCGCTAACAAAACAGTAACGGATGAAGTCAGTTACCTGAACAAAAGAAACACCGAGCCATATACCCAGAAATCCTCCAATGTAACTGAATATTTCCACTTCCTAAATGAAATTAAAATACAATAAGATTACAAAAAAAAACTAAATTTAGGAGTTAAATTAGATTGAAAATATGCTGCAAAAATATCGATTGATAAATTATTATGATCCATCCATACTATCATAGAAATATATCGGGTTGTTCGATAATTTATGTCGTTTTTTTCTTCTCATAGATGACTTGAATTGCATATTTAATGTAGTAGTGATTGCGTGGCTAATGTTATTGTATACTATTTTAAATATTAGACTTCAGACTTTCTTTAGTCAAAACCAGAGCGTCATTTGTAAACAGCAAGTTGGTTAAAAATTTAGTTGAAAATGGACACTCAAAGAGATCGTCCATTTTATTGTTTTACTTCTGAAAGGGCAAAAATGCGGTGCAAGTTCGGAGGAAATTGTGTGAAGTTTATGATAGTGAGGACTGTCTTACTGAACGTCAATGTCAGCGTTGGTTTGGTCGCGTTCGAGCTGGAAATTTTAATGTGCAAGATGCACCACACACTGGTCGTCCAAGGAATCAAACTATTGATTCAAATGTCTACTGTCGTCAACTATCGAAATTGAACGAAAAAATCAAGAAAAAACGGCCCCGCACTGGCCAATCGCAAAAGAGTTATGTTTCATCATGATAACGCCAGACCCCACACAACCCGTCAAAAATTAATGGAGCTGAATTGGGAACTGCTGCCACATCCACCCTATAGCCCTGACTTAGCACCATCGGAATATCATTTGTTTCGATCCCTTCAAAACCATTTGAATGGTAAAACTTTCGATTCCGATCAGGCTATTAAAAATGAGTTGAACCAGTTCTTCGCTTCTAAAAACCAAAGTTTCTTCGAACGTGGAATTTTTCAACTTACCGAAAGGTGGCAAAAGGTCATCCGACAGAATGGTCAATATATCATTGATTAATTTTTGTTGTTAATATAAAAAATTTCACTTTGAAAAACTTGAAAAAAAAACGACATTAATTACCAAACAATCCAATAATATAGGATAATCTATAAAAATATTTCTCTTATTTAGCACCATAATTTCGGGTATTTCTCTATCCGTTGGCAACACTATAATTATTATTCATTTTGTTGGGTTGCCTTAAATAATAATTTGTGTAGTTTTAAAAAAACTAGCTATAAGCTAAGAACTTTTTTAGATTTATTTTGCCAGGCTTATAGATTTATTTTGCCATACTATTTATTAACTTGAATAGTGTTGAATAGTTAGTTGTATGCTAAGTATTTAAAAAAAAGTTTGTATTTTAATAGAAGTAAAAACTTAGATACGAATTAATTATTTAGATTTATTTTTGATTCATTCGAAAATGTAGTAACTTTGTACTGTAATAACTTTGAACGGTACTTACGTATTAACGCAACCAGGCCAAAATTCGCATAAATCGCCAAATTTGGCGTAAGTAGAAAAAAATTTAAATAATTTTTTTTTTATAAAACAAAGTATTTTATAAACAAAATTATAAGCATATATTTTAATAACCTTTTAGATTACATTATATTTCGACACAACATAGTGCATTATTTCTCATAACAAATACAGTTCTTTATATTATTTTTTTTTTAAATATAAAATAGCAATTAAACCCTTCCGGTTTCGAATTTGAATAAGTTGCAGAATTATTTTTTCGGCGGAAATCTTTTGGTTATTACTTTTAGCATTGATTGAAAACCGTCTTCGCCATTAACAGCTTGAGCTTGACGCCATATAAATTCGATAAGGTATGAAACACGTAGGGTCGCTAAATTTGGCGATTTATGCGAATTTTGGCCTGGTTGCGTTAATACGTAAGTACCCTTTGAACATAAAAGGCGCTATGGTTCCGCGTACTGTCATACTAATTATAGATGATAGAACTTGCCTTTTCGAGAAATATCATTACAAGTTATGACCTGTAATGATTTTCATCTTATCTCATGAAAGAGATGTAAATAATTTTAATACTTCCTATGCCTACTATGCTGAAATGTCCCGAACTCATAATTAAAGTGGTAAGGACTGCCGAACAAATTTTAAATTATTATTAAAATTCAATAAAAAAAAAAACTTTAAAAATATCGATCTTGAAAACAGTTAAAATTGAAATCTAAATACTTCCATATGGGCAAATTTACGGACAACAGCTGGACGGTGATAAAAATGTAGAGTAAAATCCTAGAATAGCCCAACGCTTGGCGACTTTTTTGAAACCTCGCCAAATTGGCGATTATTACTGGGATCGAAATTGCTTTCTGACCATTAAAAAAAATTTAAATTATTACAAATTTATTACAATATTTTTAATAGAATAAAAAATAGCGTACCTTTACTCTGATGGACATCCACCGTAAACTATCCACCGTGTCCTTCGCTCAAACAAACTCATTTGGTCTCCACATTTAGGGCATTCATACGTTTCCGAAATTAAATTTTAATTCATACACCATCCAATCATCGCTTTCTTGCCTTTTACATTCAAAAAAGTTAAAAATTCACTCGTTCATTCACTAGCAAGTTTCAACGAGGAACCACACACAAAAATAATTTAAAAATGAAATAATAACGATGATTCTAACAGCAAGAGATCAGAAGCAAATTTGGCAAAAATAAAAAATAAACCATTTTACCTCTTTTCTAATGAAATCCTACTTTTGCGTAGGTATACATATCAAATAAAAAATCAGGTTTCATTTTATTTTTATTACCTAACCGTTGTTGAACATCCGACCCAATTCTGGGTTTACGACTGCCAATGCCCAACTGCGTATCCTTGTAATTTTGATCCCAATAAAGAAGACAAGGAAGATCCTGGATAAGTACCCCCAAAGATATTGATTTACTTTGGGAACATGGAGGACTTTGCGACTCGACAGATTTAACGTGCATCAGTCACCATTTACTGCACGGGTGGGAGGGAGGCCTTCGGCCGGAGGGCATCTAACCCACGAACTCTTGGAAATGGGCCCGATGCCCTACCAGCCAGGTCCCAATACGGTTTAAGAATTTTGGTTTTGTGATCGTGATGTGATCAAACGTTCAAAATAATCTCCCCGAAACCTAGTTTGAAGAGATTTCAAAAAAATCGCCACGGATTGGGCTATTCTAGAATCCACAAGAATTTTGTTAATATATTGTTTAAAACTAATTTAGGTGTTAAGATTGGAGATGGGATTGTGGAATTGGTATATTTAAATACAGTTGTGCTATGCATTTGGCTTGGTTAGCATAAATGCTAACATGGCTATTCTGATTATACTTCAATAAGAAGGGGAGAGTGGGGTCAATTGTAACAGGGTACGATTGTAACAGAGCAAAAATTTCGAGTGTCGTTTTCTAGATTTGGTTCCTAGGTGGCGCACAAGGTGTATTTAATTAATCTACATGTATACCCCTGCTGGCAACCATTTTTATGCACTTTTCAAAGAGTCACATCACAAAAGATATTTTCACGCTACGTAAGTACATTTTTTGGTATTAGAATATTATATTGTAACAAAGTAATTTTGTTTAAACAGATAAAAATTATTAACCGAATATGTAAGTGGACACCTTAATTAACATTTAAAAAAAAATTAGTTTTGTTAATTAACTAGCTTTGTTTTGAACAAATGAAGCTGAAATAGCGTCTTGGGGACGATTGTAACAATAATTAAAGGGACGATTGTAACAGCTGAAAATAAATAATCTTTTGTTTAAAAGCCATTACTTAACTCTTTAAGAACCACCACTAGTTTCCTATATCATTTATATTATGTTGTATGTGCATTATTTTATTTGTCACCTTTCACAGCGTAAATTAAAATTTTTAACCCCTTAAAGTTAAAAGTTTAACCCTTTAGGTCTCTGCTCATTATTATTTTTACTCCTAAAATATCACTACTATTTTGATCAATAAAAAAAATATATCACAACTATGATAATATGTATAATTAAATTTGTTTTAGTTGAATTTATGAACTGTTACAATTGACCCCGTAAGTGGGGACAATTGTAACAAGTGCACGACTGTCAAAAATTGCTCATAACTAATATAATAACATTTAAAATGAGGTATTTTTTTTCTACTAGAGGATAGTCTAATTTACTCGTCTGTCAATTAATACTAATAATATGTTGAATTTTTTGTTAGTTAAAAATATTTAAGTAAAAAATGCTACAATTGACCCCACTTTCCCCTATACTTTTGCAGTATTATTCGAGTAGCAGAGAAAATCAAATCTAATTCTGCAGTTAATAAAAATGTTTCTGAGACACATTTAGCTTACAAGTTATGATTAGCTGGAATGCTAACTGCCTTACTCTAAATTTGTAAGAGAGGAAATTTATTTTGAAAATTAATATTAAGTCTTCTTGCTTTCAATTCATGCCTTAATTGAAAAAGAGACTTCGGCAATAGATAATAAATGAGATTGATAAGTTTAGGAATCCAAAGCATTAAAAATTCTGAAAATATTTGCACGTGAAAATGACGTGTTGTAATATTAAAACTTCATGTGTTGCAACAAAAATGAAAACTTTTGCAATATTTGGGCATAAAAACTGTGTGTGGATAAACAAACCTTCATCACAGATTGCTCGAAAAAACTTATCACTATCCGTGTTACTTTTAAATCATACATACACCATTTATACCATATCGAATTTTTTACCTCATATTTTTGACTGAACTCATAAATGACTTGTTCAGCATAATTCATATACACTTCAACTGTAGTACCATGTTTCTGTAATAAAAAAAAAAAATTAGTTTTGAATCAGAATATTAAGAAGTAAATTGTAACAATTTGAAATAGTTGCCGAGAATGTTATAAAACGCTGAAGCTTAATAGTACAAATTTGTCATAAAAACTGATATATATATATATATATATATATGTAATAACAGGGCTCCAACCCTGTTATTAGTGTNTTATATATATATATATATATATATATATATATATATATCAATGCACAGCACAACAAATCACTTCAGCAACGCAGTAAGGACGGCACTTTAAATTCCTCTAGTTACACTCAATTTGCGCTTTTGTTTGCATATTTTGTAATCTGCCAATCATGTTGCAATAATATTTTTAAATCATTCTTGAAAAATTTCCCGTCCATGTAAGTACATCTGATTTCGCTACTCGCTTTATAGATTTTGTTTTATACTGTTCTTTCTTTTTATTTTATTTTATTTTCTGTTTTTACGTGTTATTTTTACTTTGTGTTTTATTTTATTTGTTGTAATTTTTGTAAAAAAAAATTTTTAGTGCTCCTTACACTATTGTATAAATATACTTTACTTTGGCTGTATTGATACAATATCGGAAAGCACTCTTTTTTGCGGATATAATCGTGTGGGCTGATGAAAAGATTATATCTTATATTTTACGGTTTTTTTAAAAAATTACATCCTTTTTTTTCTTTTTTTTTTAATCAGTCGCTTGTTATTTTTTTTTTCATTATTATTCCCCCCCCCCTTTTTTTTCATATGTCTATAATTTTCCTTTGTTTTATCTTCATTTTGAACTATATATATATATATAAATGATACTTACGTTTACGAACGACGCAGTTCTTTCTTTTACCGCAACTGTATAGCTTGTTTCCCTAAAAAAACAGTTACAATTACTACAACTAACCTTTTTTCCACATTTTTCTTTGTTGTTTAAAACAACTAGGTATTTTTTCTTTACTTATAAGAAAGGAGCCGGAAATAAAGAGAAGCTGATTTTTTCTGTTTAAAAAATTAAGTATTATAAGTATTTTCTGCTTATTATGAAATACGAGTAAAAAATTTGGTAAAAAAAAAAGAGAAGACTGTAATTTTTTTTTTTTTTTTGAAATCTTAGGAAATATATTCGTAGGATATCTCGTCCTTCTAATTCAGCAAATAATTAAAGTAAATTGTTATCTAAAAATCTCCAGCAAAATTCATTAAAGTATGAAACTTTTGGAATCAATTGTTTAAGTCAATAGAATTTTATATCCATGCATCGAAATGTTCTATATAAAACAGTATCTAAGTGTAGAATATGCAAAAGGGAAATATCTTATGTAAATAAAATGTATGTAAATGTAAAAAAACTGTAAATGTTATTTAAATAGGAAATATCATATCTAACTGTAAAATGCAAATAATTAATAATGTTTATAAATAAACAAGAATATAGAGTTTGGGATAAGACGGTTACGCAAAAAAAAAATCTTAGAAAAATTACAAAAACAAATAAGTTACATTATTTTGTTGAAGAGTTAAAAAAACAATTCAGTGTTTTGTTGCAAATACAAATAAGTATTAAGCGGGCTATTATATTTTAAAAAACTGAAGCATTATAAAAATTAATTATTCATTCACTCAAAAATGTTTTGAATATTTAGGGATGATAAACGGTTTTTCAGGCAATTTTTTTTAAAAAAAAACACGTGTTATGACCTGAAATTATTTTTATTCTGAGAAATTTGAAAGTATAGAAAGATATTCAATGAAAAAGTCTAAAATGCTACACAAAAAACTTCTGAAGTTACAATAATAATAATAAAATCTTCTCAATAAAAAAAATACACAGTTACTTTCTAAACTGCAGTCGTCTGGAAATAGCACATTTTATTAAAATTTATTTATGGATAGTTTTGTCCTTAAATCAGTTTTTCTTAATTCAAATTTATTTTGCGATCAGAACTCGACTTTTAATAAACCAATCAAGTTAAATCTTGGTAATTGTCTTGAGAATAGCATGTTGCTAAATTCATACTAGTACTTGAATATCGATAGGTAATTTATTTCTTGGCCATAGTATCCTTTTTGATGGCCATAATAACCTTGGCCATAATAACCTTTTGCAAATATGGCAATCTCTTTCATTATGACGGAAAATTATTCTTGAATATTTTAAGAGGGATTAACTTTTAGCTTTACCATTTATTTTTAAATGAATAAAATTGCTTGACGCTAATAAATAATGTTCACGCAAATATATATGACATAATGAACAAGCAGATTAGATTTACCGGCGTTGAACAACTGACTCAATTCCGAGTTTACGACTATCAATGTACTACTCTGCGACCTTATAATCTTGAATTTTACCCAGAAGACGAGGGAACTCCAGGCTCGAGCATTAGCGCAAACTAGCCTGCGTCAAGAACCTTTTGATGTAACTAACCGCATTTCATGGAAAGGAAAATCACGAAACCTCCCATTGTTAGCAGACGGCAAGAGGATTCTGACCATTAATCAGTCAACCACTGACGATTGTTTACGCCACTGTGGTCAGTGTGATCTGGGAGGAGAATTCATCTCAACCAGCCAACGCCGGAAGTAACCTGGGTCACCTTATTGGTAGACGAACGACCTGAGCCCCAAATGCTTCATTAATCATGCAGAGGAGTTTTTAAAAGCTCATTAACGTAAACAAATTTAACTTTCAAAAATTGTAATTTCGTACGAGCTTTAAATGTTGTTGAGCGTTGATAGTACTCAGGGACCGATCAAGACAAATTCAGGCCCAAGGCCCATCAAATTTTCTGGGGCCCTGACAAAATATTTTGAAATTAAATTACTGAAGAGTAGTCCTAATAATGAACTACATGATTCAAGAGAAACATTTTATTAAATTTTGAAAGCAGACAATTGAAGAATTTTTTTTAGATAAAGTTTACGTATCTATATATTAAAGCAAAATATAAAACAACAAAACAATGTTATGTCAAAATAAAAATTGCTTGATTACTACAAACAATTTAAATCAGTGATTTTTATTAAGAGTCACTGATTAGCTGAATTATCTTTTATTGTAAACTGTAATTATTTTTTATTTTGTACTTAAACCAACATATAGCTAGCCCACCTTTTATTAGACATTTTACAAATTTTTTAGGTCCCTCAGAAATTGTGGGCCCTAGGCCCATGCCTAATGGGTCTAGGCTATAATCAGGCCCTGATAGTACTAGACATACTGTTTGTCTAAGATAGGTACTTTTCCAGACATTTGTCTGGAGCTGTGGCGGTGACTATGGTTACGAGGTATGATTATTTCAAGTAGGGGTTCGGGGTCCCTCTTTAGGACTGGTTTCGGAGAGAGAAAAGTACAAGCTATCATCGAAGGGCCGGGATAGCCTGGTCGGTAGGGCGCTGGGCCCACATCCAAGAGGTCGTGGGTTCGATCGTCGCCGGCCGAAGACTCCCCGTGTAGTAAATGGTGACTGATGCACGTTAAATCTGTCGAGTCTGAAAGTCCTCCATGTTCCCACAACATATCAATACCTCTGGGGGTACTGATCCAGGAGTTTCCTTGTCTTCTGGATTGGTTCAAAATTACAAGGCTACGGAGTTGAACGTAAGTAGTCGTAAACCCATGAAATTGGGTCGGCTGTTCAACGACGGTTATAAAATAAAATAAAAAGCTATCATCGAAGCTACCCTCCCTAAAATGCCCTCCTCTTGTTTCCACAGCACCAGACTGCTGCGGCGGTAAGAGTACCTAACTTAGACAAACAGTACATGCTATTGAACTAAAAAAAGGATTTTTGCAGTAAATTTTGTTTACTTACACACAATCCTGAGTACAACCAGCAGTGCATTTCTCTAATCCCTTTCGGAAATTGCATTTTGCTTTACTTTCATCATCTAGATATATAACTAGAATATTGATAAAAAAAAAATACAAAGCAGTAAGGCACAGGAATAGTTAATGTTTCCGCTGTGTTTGTTTAGAATTTGTATCAAAACTATTCCTAACTCTGATTTTTTCTTCAACCTATATGCAAATAAGTTAAAGTTTACTAAAAACAAAGTTCAAAAATAATTAGCTATATTTAAAAATATCAGTTCCGTTTCATAGATGATTACATACCGGTTTGGCACAACTTATGAAATAAACTTTAATAATCATTCATAAACTTCTTTATGAAAAGGTAGAAATTCATTACTCAATTTTCAGCACTTACAAGAAAATTGAATAATTTTTTTTACGATATTTTTATTAACGTAGTATGTTTGTGACGATGGAATCTTCCTAAGAAAACTTTGAGGTTTTTTCAAATAACTAAAATGCTCAAATTTGTATAAGAAATCTGTGTCAGATAGTTCAACTCTGAAACAGAATGGTTCGCATTGAAAATTTTACCATGGCAGTTAGAAAATCAGACTCCTGTAAAGAGGGGGTGGGGTTCAATCCTCGATTACACTATGATCCACGGACTACCTTCGATAAACGCTCTCGTAAAATCTGTGGAATGAAATGTCCTGTTGTCGTTCGCTGAGCAGTAAAGTTATTTGGAAATAGTTTCCTTCCTCTTATCTATGTCTAAATTGAGAGGTGCCGCCCTCTATCATTGCGGTGATGAATTAAGGTATACTTTTACCCTTGCGGTGCTCTCTAATCAAACTGAAGGCGCACCTTGGTGACTTAACTCACAAAAGGTCAATGGCTAGAAAGATTGGCTCATCAAAGTGTCTTTAGGAACAACATAACAAAATTTATAATTAATCAAAATTCAAACCACCTTCCGTTTAGATTAAATACTCACATTTCAAGTGCTGCTCATTGAAAATAATAGTATATATATATATATATATATATATCTTTCCTCTTAGTTTCTCTGGCAATCAAACAGGTTGTCATTTTAATNCATACATATATATATATATATATATATATATATTACTGAAAAAGGGAAAAGAAACGCAAAAGAAAAGAAATGAACCACACTGTGATCTGATTTTTCCGCACTAGGACTCAAAAACTTAATAGTAAATATTGTATATGCATCCTAAATTTATTATTTTTACTTTATACTGTATCATAAAAATAGCTTTACTGTCGCTTATGTGTGTCATATCTTAATATATTTTAAAGTTATTGTTACTGAAATGTTGAAAATGGTCTATTTTACACCAAGTAGGGTAAAAAAACATTCTTGATGCTTAACTACATCTGGAACAATCCTTGGTTACTGGTAAAGCGCAACACCTAGTGGAACACCAATTTTTAATTTGGTGTTAAGTAGTTACCACTATTATTGGCGTTAAAATACTCTAAAATTTTACAGTGCATTATAAAAACTAATTGCTTACGATTCGAGAATTTTGCTTAATTTCTTATCGTAAATCATAAGATATGAAATTGAGTGACATTTTTGATTGACAAATTATTGCAATCAGTGCAAACTTGAAATTGTTTTATAAATATAATAAATAGTTCTTTGCATAATTGTTATTAAACTAACAATTAAAAAATAGCTGATTTATTTCTCATTTTTAACACTTTTATTTAATGCTTTATTTAAGCTAGAGAAGAAATATTTTTGTTAATTTATGTTAATCACTCCTAGAATGGTTTTTCAAAAAAATAGTTTTACAAAATTCTTAAAATATAATCTCAAAAATAAGAAAATGTAACAGTTTAGAAGACTAGAAGAAGATTTTAGAAGTATTCCATAAAACTTGTGATACATACCTCCAAAGCATTCATCAAATATCGAAAACATTCTTTTGTAGCAATCGGTAACGCATAACTAAATTATAATAGATGAAGTGGGTTTTATAATACTTTAAAATAAAATTGAAATCACAAAATATAAGTTACTTTCATACAAAATATAAATAAAATTGTATCACATTGTTTAAAATATTGCATGGATTACATGACATAAAAATACGAACACTTTCTTTTTGCATTTCTTTAAATACTTGGATGATAAATAAGTCGTACACTGTTCGACAAAATTAAGAGATGGACGACATTTTCCCAAATATCTAAAGAAATACTTAATATAAATAAATGAAACTTGGTATGGATATAACTTATTTTATGATAATAAAGTATGCAAGACGAAAATGAAAGTGCCATTCACTGGCAAGACCTATTGCCAATAAATCCAATGTAGTCTGAACTTAAGGATAAACGATGACATTAAAAGAGAGGCTTGTAAAGTGTGTGTTGCCTCTAGTATGGTGTATGGTCACCCCTGACAGACAGACAGCAGGCACATCGAGTATGCATGCAGTTAATAAGGGATTTAAGGAGGACTTGTGGAAAACCCTCCCATTCTCCCACCAGAGCAATTTTTAACTCCAGAATGGTTCTGGAGGGAGGTTGGCGCATCGCAATAGCTCTCCCAAGAGCATCCCAAGCATGTTCAATAGGATTTAGGTCAGGAGATTTGACTGGTCAATCCATTCGTTGAATATCCTCGCTTTCCAGATACTCATCAACCATGTGAGCCATATGTGATCGCGCATTGTCGTCCATAAAGATGAACTCAGGGCCAACAGCGCCCCTGAAAAGACGCACATAGGGCTCTAGGACCTCCTGTCTGTACCTCTGGGTGGAACCATTGTCAAGCACATTGAGCGGTGTGCGGGTATCTTGCATGATGCCTGCCCAAACCATGAGTCCTCCTCCAGCATAATGGTCCCTTTCGATAATGTTGCTGGGATGGTATCGGGTTCCAGGTTCCCTCCATATCAATAACCGTCCAGAAATAGCGTCATAGCGTCATAGAAATGTGTTTCATAGAAGAATATAGCGTCATAGAGATGTGCGAAATGCTTTCCATTTCTTAATTTTGACCACCAGTGTAGTTATTTACATTATATATGTCCATGCACTGATCGCTCCGGTCCCCAATCCCTATACTTGTTTCGCAGTAAGCTACATTTCACGTTAAGAAATAAATTTCATTTCTTAAATGAAAATTTGTATTTTTAGAGGTTATTAATGGGTAAATATTGTATTTTTACAAATTTGTCAAAATACCATTTTATTTACCGTCGTTTGGTCAAAGATTTCAACTACAATTGCAAATTATAAGAAAAAAATACCAACTCGATTCAAGTAACTTTTTGAACAGTTTCATAAAATAAAAAAAAGTAAAGTCTCCCAACAGCACATTGTCGGCCAGAGCAGATGATGGTTAAAGCTCCACGATTTTGTGACACACGACATGACTGTGGCAATCTAGTCAACATTACACACAGGCCACCTTCACTTCCCAGGCAAGCAGGTATACATCGATCTGAAAATAAATGGGCCTCCAGCCGCCACTGGGGATCGAACCTCAGTTCTTTGTAATGACAGGTCAGTGCAATAACTACTGAGCTATCAAGGCTCTGTATATTTTATTTAACTTACATTTTGTTTCCGTTTAATAAAAATGCCTATTTTCTATTCAATAAAAGTTTCACAATTTTAAAGTGGAATATTGCGATTTGTTATGGTTGTAATCAACTTTGAAAAAGCGTCTTAATTAAAATTAAAAAAAAAACAATAAATAAAGTTATGTTGCATTTCCATAAAATTATTCATACTCCGACATAGTTAAAACAAATTGAAAGACTGTTTACCTCTCTGGATAGTGGACCGGTCTTGCCATTTTCCCTCCAAAGCTTTATATAATCCGTGCAGTTTGTTTTATAAGGATGGGGCAATCTCCTCTCCTCTTTCTTTTCAGAATAAAAATAAAAGCACTTAGAGAAAATATCAGTTGAAGATACTAAAGTGTTAACAGAACTTCACTATCTGGAAGAAAGTGACGGGACAACTGCAAAGTTTGGTGGAGGATGATTGATGGTATGGGCCTGTTTCTCCTGGTATGGGACTGGCCCACTGGTGAAGGTTGATGGTATGATGAATACCGATGGATACTGTGATATTCTCGACAATCATGTCCTTCCTACCTTGTGGGCAACGTACGGTATGGATGATTGCTTGTATCAAGACGACAACGCAAGATCCCATGTTGCAAGGAGGACTCTTGATTGGTATGTGAACAACAACGTTAAACGCATGGAGTGGCCGGCGCAGAGCCCTGATCTTAACCCAATTGAACATCTCTGGGACGAATTGGACCGTCGATTGAGGGCCAGCACCCGACTCCCCAAAAGCAAGCTTGAACTTCCTGTTAAACATTTGGAAGGAAATTGTTCTTGCCACTGTGGCCAATTTAGTGGAAATCATGCCCAGAAGGGCTGCAGCTGTGATCGCAGCCCAAAGGAGGCCCTACCTCCTATTAATTTTAATAAATATGGGTTTATGTCGTTATAGTGTCGTGTCCCGTCACTTTCTTCCAAATAGTGTATATTGAAACTGAGTAAAAGTAGCCAAGGTCGAACGGGGCATAGACCTGAAAAAGCGATTGATACTTAAGGCCCCAGCCAAAATGGTGGACCTTTCTTAAAGGTGGAGCCCTCTGACCCCATGTTCTTTCTATCAATAAAAAACCATTTTTAAAAAAAATCCATATAATTTGAAAACATTTTTTGTTGTAATTTGTTCTCATCAATGAATGACCCCATGTTCTTTCTATCAATAAAAAACCATTTTTAAAAAAAATCAATATAATTTGAAAACATTCTTTGTTGTAATTTGTTTTCATCTCCGGATAATGAATAAAATAAAATATTTAATTTGATCTTTTAAAAATTAGCTCCAGCCTATGAAATGCATTTGAGAAAGCTCCTGGTAAATAAGTTATAGCATAAAACAAGTTAGACCATGAACCACATGAAGTATTTTTCCCCATGAGAACTACATCCATGTTCCACTATTTAATTTTGTATGTTTTGTTTCATGATTTATAGCCCGCAACTTGCTTCTCAATTTATCTAGCACAACATGATTTACGACCTGTACTCTGAGTGAATGTGACAATAAACCTCTGTATGAGTAAGAGTTTTAAAAAAGATAATTAGTATATTTCTAATTTACATTATCATTGGCGAAAAAAGTAACATGAAAATTACACCAATTTTGAAAATATGTTAATTTCTGATGAAGACATTTACAAAAAAAAAAAAAAAAATACAGTCGACACTCTATATAATGTCATGGTAATGATAAATGGAAGTTATAACATGAGTAGTAATTATTTTTTTCCCATAAAAACAGCACTTATTTTGACAAATTCAACTACAAATCATTCACTCTACAAGATTACATTTTTCTTTCTCAGATAATATAACCTGCTTTCTTTTAGCAGGAGTTAAAGCCATAATGACCAAACTAAACTACAGTAGTAATAGGGAGAAAAAAAACTAATGAAACAACGAAATTTACAATTCCCAAATTGCATTAGCATTTTCAAAAGTAAAGATTTTGATGTGCTTATAGGTAAAACGGATCATTAAAGACACCCTTTTTCTCTCTCGAGAAAAAAGTCGAATCGTTCTCCTGGTCACAAGTTTTCCCTTTTCATAGCTCTGAATCTCACTCCAACTGTACTAACTAATATGCGAAGTGTTTGTTAATCACAAAAAGTGATCAATTCTGTGTAGACATGCAGTACAAACTATATTTTTATTTATATTTTTAGATACCACATTTATATGACAGTATGTTATTGAAATTGAGCAGAAAAATCTAAATACGCACGTACAAAAAAAAAAAAACAACACCGCGGAATTGACTTCGGTTAACTGAGGATTTCGGATGAAAGAAGTTCCGATAATCGAGGTTTTACTCATTTGCCACTAACCTGATTCAAGGGGAATTAACTAAGTCTAACCGCACTCCTTACTACCAATCGCAAGAAAAAGCAAAATCTATTTTTAAAATTTCAAATACCTTAACCAGGGGTCAGTTTAGAAGAAATTTGGGTTCGTTAACGGACCCTTCACAAAATATCTTTTCATAAAAACGGACCCTTCACGAAATATTTTAACTTGAGAACGGATCCTTCACAAAATAATTTATCTTTTAATCGGACCCTTCATAAATTTGTTTATCTTCATTATTGTTTTGTTAATCGAATAAACCCTTCCCAGAAAGAAAGACAGATGTAAACGAACTAAGTTTTGTCTTCGGCAGACGCTTCTTCCTTTATTCGTCCGAAATGAATATTCTGTGTTGAGCAGTATAGGGTAAATACCACATATTTGTATGTTGCATCTCTAATTTAGTGGCAGTAATTGCTGTTTATTTTTAAATAATTAATTTTTTTTAATTATGATTTTACAGTGTTGAGCATAACATTGTATCGCTTTGCAATTTAAAAACTCTTTGAAAAAGTTTTTTTGCAATAACACGACCCTATTTGCACTAATTCACAAAACAGGTCCCTGGTTGAAGGAATGTGACTTAACTTTTATTTTACATTCACAAATTGCGAGCAATTTTTTCACAATTTTACAAAAACGGACCTTTCACAAAATATCTGGACAGACCCCTGATAACGATCTACAATATTTAATTATTTACTAATTCATCTTACTGTTTCAATTAGGATTTTATAACGCATGCCAGGTTTCAAATACTGTAGGCTTTCAGTTTCCAAATCAATCTCTTCATCGAATTGTGAATTAACAGCAAAGTAAGTCTCGAGTGGATTATGAAGATCTAATATTTCAGGTGGCTCAAAATGGAGATATAACAAACGGCCCCATTCTGCAAAAATAAATAAATAAAATTACCTATAGAAATTAAATGAACTAGACAGAATATACTATAGAGAATAAACTAGAAACTATAGAGAATAAACTAAAAAGAGGTAAATACTCCGATTTAATTCTATAACTAGTGATTTATAATTTGGCGACTAGTTGATCCCCCATTTCAAATACATAACTCAAGTAACTCGAGATTTGAAAATTCTTGCATTCGGAAACCAAGCCAGTTTATACCGTAAAAATGGGTTTGGTTTGTAACAAGTGGGTTAATTATGAAACACTCACATTTTCTGAAGTCCAGCGGTAGCAAAAATATAAATAATTATTTTTATCATTTTCCGAAGCGGCATTAGGTTTAAAAAACAGTAAACTTATATTTCTCTTGGCGTAGGTAGTGCTTTCTCACAAAATGCTTCCATTTATTTTATTAATTTTTTTGATTTTAATAAAAACTAAAACTATTTATCTAAACTTGTTGTTCAAGATCTCCCCTTTATCAGCTCGAGCTTTAGTTTAGTTTATAAATATCTATATATATATATAAATATCTATATGTATGT